CTTCTTTATTTGTTAAAAAAGTTCCCATTTGTTGTTGGTTTTTTCCGAAGAATTACAATTTCATATCTCTGCAAAGCACGGTAACATTGGAAACTGACTGATGGAGGTTCTGACCCGCTCCAGGAAATATCCCAACAGCCCCAAAAACATTCTGAGGAGTTTAAAACCAAAAAGGATCAATCTTCTTGGACCGGAGTCCATCTGAATACAGTAACATCAGAGTCAAAGAATAATGGAAAAAGTTCCCCACAAACCTTTGTTCCCAGAACTGGAACCAAGCGAGGCAGCAGTTCTGGACAAAAATCCCTGAAAACCTGACGTGCAGAAACTGATTTTACCATCTGAAGCTCCAACATCTGTCGGCCTCCTAAACGGCTGAGCCTCGGGCCCCAGTGGCCCCTCCTGTGGCCCCCAGCTTACATATTGGTTGATGATCCTTTATGAAGCTTAGACCTGATCCGCTGCCTGTGGTTCTTTGAGCATTCAGGCGTAACCAACATGGCTGCTGGTGTTGTGTAAATAGCTATTAATCTACTGCAGACGTCAGCAAACAGTGTTATTGTTATTATGAATGAAAGAGTAAACAGCAAATGCAAAACTTCTGGATGCAGAAATCACCTTTAGAAGAGAGACATGCAATTGGAGATAAACACCTAACTTGGGCTTCATGTCCTGAAGGGGATTATGATCAGTGGTGCTTTCTGGGCTTAGTCATGAGACGTTATGACCCCGGTTAGCTCACAGAGGATGCTTGGATCTCTCTGTGGTTCTTCACTGCAGCAATTAAACTCCTTTACTTTTCTACTTCCCCTCCATAGTCCTCCCTCCATAACATCCATCTGTCCCTGCTGCTTTCCTTTCAGGAATCCAGACCAAATGCCTGCCTCACTGCTGGCAGCAGCCTGCTGCTCTTCCAGAGCTAGCTCTGCACCGGTGGCAACCCTCTGTGGTTTATATACTAACAGTTAAAATGATAAAGCAGTCAAAATAATCCAGCTGAGAAGATCACTGCTGCCATCCTCTGGATCAGAGGGGAACTGCTTGTTCTGGAGGTGTAAAAGAATTGGTAAAGAAATGCAACCAAAGTGATTTTACTATTTAACATTTCTGTTCAAACACAAAAACAAATGTTTTCAGAGAAGAGTGTTCAGTTATTGACTGCAAATTCCTGTGCAAAGCTGAACCTTCAGTTTGTTTTTAATATACTTGATGGGTTTAACTCCAGTGTCTAGTCCACTCTCTGGTAGCCTAGCATCATTTAAAGGTATAGAGGAGGATCTTTTATTTCCAGGTGGATCATCTCCATCATTGGTTCTCCTGTCAATCATTCTGGTGATATGTTTACGTTAGGCCGTCCTAGGTGCTCGTCCCATTAGCCATCTTTTTCTGCAAACTTTCAGGTGTATATCTGTGGTGATCTATGGTTTCAGAAGTCATTGAAGCTCACCTTTCTCACCGTAGTTCTTTAAAAATGGCAGAGGGTTGGAAGACAAAAAAGTCTCTATGAAGTGTATGAGAACAAACGAAAGGCCTCAGAAAAGGCAGATATATCCCAGAATGCTCTGCGTGGAGAGCTCTCCTCACAAAGCATTATGGGATTTGCGGTCACAGCGGCCTGCGTGACTAAAAACAAAGATGGCACAGGCACTGTAGGTGGAGGAGGAGTTATGTGACCAACGGAGCAAAAAGCAGTGATCAGCAGTAAGCTTGGATGAGCTATGAGAACAGCAACTTTTAAACACGAGGACAAATGGGCTTGTGCACGCTCTCGCATGCTAATTTTTTTTTACTGGAGAGGGCGGGTCTTTTAAAAAATTTTTTAAACTCCTCCACAATATCTTTAAAGTCTGATTACCTGAAGTAAAGTTTAGCTGTTCTAGTAAAGTCATAACACCCTGGCAGACTGATGACACGGGAGAGAGGTGACGTTACAAACATTAGCTTTAAGAATGGGTGTAAAAACAAGGCAGAAAGTGGACATGAAGGCAGCTACTCTCCTGTTCCCCAAAAACCTGCTCCTGAATCATCAAAGCGAGTAAGACCTTTCCTCTAAATGGACCAGATGGCCGCTCACACAGAGCCTGGTTGCTTCTTCCTGTTCAAAGGGAGTTTTTCGTCTCCACTGTCGCTACAAGCATGCTTAGTGTGAGGGATTGCTGAAGAGTCAATGAGTGGATGCAATCAGCTGGTTTTCCTTAGATAGAAAACTTTGAATCAATGTGGCTGGATGATCTGGTGAACTGGAAAGTGCCTTGAGATGACATTATGTGAATTGGTGCTATAGAAATAAACTGAATAGAATTAAAATGAAGGAATGCATCGAGGTTTGATGAGCTCTGTCCATATTTGGGGGGAGTTTGACCCCAAAGCATCACTCAGCCACCCCGTACCCCGTAGGAGGAAAAGTACTCTGCCTTTGTTCATTTTCACAGGATTCATATCTACCATTACTTTTGTCAGATTCAAGTTATTTCTATAACTATTGAGGTTATGTAGAGTATGGATTCAACAAAACAATACAATAAAAAAACACTTTTAAATTTTTATTGTCTTTTCTAAAAGCAATTTCCACAAAATAATTGGATAAATATAGAAAACAAGTTTAGGAAAAGAACTTTTATGACGGCTTTCAGCCGTCACCTTTAGGAGCTTTTAATGTTCTGCTGGGCAGCAAAACATCTAAACATCTCAAAACTGGAATTTATAGAAAAGACTAAACACCATCTGCTCCATGCTTCCTTTTCTCTACCATCATCATCCTCCACTGGTTGTTTTCTATTCTGAATCTCATCATCTTCCTCATCTCTTCTACTTTCAGAGGTCTTCCTCACGTGTGACCCTCCTAGTCTCTCAATCAGTCTTTTCTGCCTTCTCATCTCATTATTTTGCCAAATAAACCGGAAATGTTTCCTCTTTAAGTCATTTTCATTCCTATGCAAGCAGGAAGATTTGTGGAAATTAGCGTGCTGATTACAGCAGTCTGTCCCACGAAAGCAGTGATGATCATATACGGTAAATGGTATGTACTTATATAGCGGCTTCATTCAAGTTAGGAGACCTGACCAAAGCGCTTTACACTACATTAATTCACCCATTCACACACACACTCACACACTGATCGTGGCAAGCTACATTGTAGCCACAGCTGCCCTGGGGCTCACTGACAGAAGCGAGGCTGCCGTACACTGGCGCCACCGGGCCCTCTGACCACCAGAACACGAAACGCTGATATTTTCCAAAACGTTTGCCGTAAAGACCGAGACGTAAAATAAATGTGAGCGTCCACACGAATGCATGAAAACGCTGCAAAATGTATGCCAGGCCTGTAAGTGGCGCTGTGGTGCCAAAGCAAAAATAAGCGACGGAATGTTGGGCATGCGCACTAATATTTATACATGGTTGCCCTGCGGGTCCATTTTCGTGGTTCAGTCAAATTCAGGTGCTGAACTATGTCATCTATATTGCTCTGTTCTTCCTGGAGATATTCCAGAAGAAGAAGATTCTGTTGTAAGCCCGACAGCAGGGTGAGTAGCATTAGCACCAACGGCGCCATTGTTGTTGTGATACTGGTCGCGCATGCGTGTTTAGAGGTGACGCTATGACGCATGCGTGTAAAAAAAAATATGCGGTTAGAGCGTAAAGATGGAAACGCGAAAACGGCGTTTCGAAATCTTCCCACTCTGAAGGCTGAATAAAAAAAAGATCGTTTACAGACCCCCGAAACGCCGGCTTCGTGTGGATGAGAGGCTGGTTTGGTGAAAAATTTGTTCGTTTAGGCCAGGGTTCGTCTTCGTGTGGACGGGGCCTCAGTAAATGAATGTTTAATTGAAAGGATGAGTAATTACTGTGGTGGTCTATTGGTCTCTAGCCGTGGTGCTGACAGGTGGAGCGGAGTGGATGGACATGGACAGGTTGGATCAGGAGGAGCTTCAACAATGTTTGCACTAAGCAGGATAACAGCGTTTCCGTGGTTCCTCCAGATGCACAGGCGGTTCTAGACAGGGGGCAACGGGGGCCAGTGCCCCTGTAGATAATGCCCTGGCCCCTGAACTGAAGACATAATACTCAAAGAAATTCTAATGATGATGCGCTGGAACAGACATGGCTACTGATTGGTCCTTTGGATCTATTTTATTCTTTTTTCTTTACAAATTCTGCTTTACTAATTATATCAAAACAATAAGGTGATAGCTTCAGTGGTATTGAGATAGAATACCAGTTTTCATCTGCTACTCTAATTCAGATTTACTGAAGCCGCTGACTCACTAATTTTAACTTAAATCAAGTCAAAAATGTGTAAAAATCCTAAATTCTGAATGCATATTGACCTAATATGTTTTTTAATCAAACCTAACTGAATAGAAATTTCACTTCATTCAGCTATTTGAATCCCTTGCCCTGTTTTATATTTCATGCTTTTCTGTTCCCCTATGAAAACACACTGGCCCCCTCCTGGCCCCTGGTACATTTGTTCTAGAGCCACCACTGTCCAGATGTGCTGGTTTGTCAGATGAACTTCTCCGATCGTCACAGGGTGGAGCAGGAGAGCTTGATTTTTATAAAGACCTGCCTTTGTTGCAGGGCCATGGAGAAGCTGTGGGGGCATCTAGATGCAGATTGGGTCAATAACAGGAGGAGCAGAAAGGTTAGCAGCTCCTCCTTCCCAGCTGACTGTTACATAATTCTGAGGTTTGCTCTCTGTTGAAGGACTGCTGCACCCAACAAGGTTACAGAGCCCAGATGAGCTCCAACAGGCCCACACCCACCTGTCAGGGTGACGGGTTTATGATGGAGAGCCCTCTCTCCTGATGGTAAACATATTGGGCTGCTGTCAGCTGAAACAGGAGTCTGAGCTTCTTCTGCTGCAGCAGTTAGGAGACCACTATGTTCTGTATGTGAGACACTTGACCCCCCCTCCCCTCCCTGTATCAGATTGTACTAGTACAAACATGAAGTGCGCACATGGAGCTGCATGAGGGAGGAGCTCTGCAGAGGCTATAAAGGTCTGCAGGAGGGAGCAAGAAGTTTGGACTGAGGAACAGGATGTCCATTGTTCCTCTGAAAGTGTCTCAGGGAGACACAGGCCGTCCTTTCCCGGTGATGCCGTGGCTGTCCTCCCCCCGGTGCCCCCCCCTGTCTCCGTGTCAGCGGGAGTGTGAGCGGACCGCCTTCTCCTTCTACTGCGCGGTTCGGGAACAGCTCCCGGTCTGGCTGCTGGAGGAGATGCGCAGCATGGAGGTGTTCTGCTGGGACAACGGGGGCCCCAGGGCCTTCCTGCCGTCTGAGGCGCTGCTCTACGCTATAGTGCACGACCACCATGACTATGCGCGCTACCTGCTCAACAGGTACTCCGTGGGCGCGCTCAGGGCGCCGAGCTGCAGCTTCTGCTGCTGCCCGGGCGGCGGCGCGCCGCACCTCACCGTGGCGGTGCGCTACAACCGGGTGGAGATCCTCAGCATGATGACGGAGGCGCTGAAGGACGGCGGCGGCCTGTGGAAGCGGACCGACTACCTGGACGGCTGCGCCGGCTGCGGCCACGCCGCGGACGCGGGAAAGACTGCGGTGCAGCTGGCCGTGGAGCTTTCCCACCCGGACTGCCTGCTGCAGCTGCTGATCCACGGCGCGCGGCCGGACGGCCTGGAGACGGCGCTGCAGCGGCTAGTGTCCTGCGCGCCTCCGGAGCGCCAGCAAGCGCAGCGCTGCTTGGACCTCCTGCTGCTCTTCCTGTCCGAGCCGCCGCGGCTGCCGTGGCTGCGGGCCGAGCCGCAGCGCTGGCAGGCGGTCCTGGGCAGCCGGGTGTTCAGCTGGCTCTGCGGCAGGGCCCCCTCCCCGCTGCTGCTGCAGGCGCTCAGGTGTCTGGCCCAGTCCGGGTCCGACCGCATCACTTCGCTGCCGGACTTCCTGCAGCCGCGCAGCTGACAGTGACGTCAGCTCCACAGGACTACTGCGATTGGACAGTTTGGATGTGACGTAAAAAACCTGTAAATATTCTGTAAATCTGTATATTGAAGTGAAAACTGTTTGGGTCCTGGTTGGGCTTTAACCCGGATCTAGTTATCTGATTGGTTGGAGGAAGATGGACTGGAACTCCTCACCTCTGGCCCATTCAGCCCCTTTACTCTGGTGCTCCCCAATAAACCACCTCAGATGTCACCTAACATCAGAGTCCAGATGGGATGAGTGATTCTGAATGCAGATGTTCGGTTCTGAGACCAACCAGCATCATGAAGTCCAGAGAAGCCTGCAGAGCCCTGATTGGTCAGGCTTCTGGACAGAGAGAGGTTGGACCACCTGTAGAACTAGAGCACCTAGAGAGCATGAATAGGACTAGGGCTGCAACTAACGATTCTTTTGCAATGCGATTAATCTGTCGATTATTTTTTTGATTAGTTGATTAATAATCGAATACCCAAAGGTTCCTTAAAGAAGACTTTTTATGAAATCTAACCAGGTGAAGCTAAAAATTTTCGACTTATCTGAAAAGAACAGATTGACAGAAAAATATTTATTTTCTTAAATGCAAAATGTTAATATTTTTTTAATTACAATTTTTATATAATTGCTGACCTAAGTGGGTCGCTCTGTTACCTAAATAATAATTAAATAAATATAATTGATTCCTAAATTAGTTGACGATTATTTCAATAATTGATTCATCTGATTGTTTCCGCCCTGATCAGGAAGTTCTGGCAGGATGACTCATCGACTGTCTGAATGAACGTAGCCGCTGTCTGTAAACCTGCTGTGTGAGCGCTTTAATCTGGGTCAGGTCCTTCACTGTGAACAATCCTGCTCCAATAAAGCTGATTGTAAAAGAAAGCCAGGAGAAGTCCTGTTTAGTGTGATTCATTTACTCAGCAGCTGAACACCACGCTTTGGTCTGGAACATGGAAACCCTCTAAAGCACATTCCAAAAGTTAAAGTTAAACAATCCACTGGACTTTGTTTTCCAAGTGTGATGATGTTTCGCTTCCACCCAGGAAGCTTTTTTAATTCAAAATGTCTGGATTAGTGTTTGAGTTCCAGGCTTTTATAGAGTAGCCCAACAAAGCCTTGTAATGGCCCGGGGGGTGGGGGTTTTATCTTTAGGATGCACTGAGTGGGGATGCTGAGCCTTTTGGATAGAAATGTTTCAAGTGTCAGAATAGTGGGAATAAACTAGTCAAAGTGAAGATTTCAGCTCAGAGATGCTCCAACAACAGATGTTCTGCACTCAGAACTGGAAGCTAAAGGCACCGTTGTCCGAAATGTGTTTACAATCAAATCAATTCAGCATTTCCAAAAAAGTTAAAAGACAATTCACTGGACTTTGTTTCCAAGTTTGAAGACGTTTCTCTTCCCATCCAGGAAGTTTTTTCAATCCAAAATATCAGAAATAGCGAATTGTGAACCTTCTGGTCCTGTTTTGGACAAAGAAGACAGGTGGTTTGAGAGGCGTGTGAAGGAAGCCATCTATGTTAGGAAAAACCAACCTTAAACACAGGGGTTGGACTGAGATTTCAGCTTTCAAAAACCTACAATGCAGCGAAAAATCTGATTCCTTCCCGTTATCATCGTAACCTCCAACCCCTTTACAGGAGAGCAGAAGACCTCGCCTGTTCAGCCGGGCCAACAATTCCCTTTAACGACCCCTTTCAGAGACATAGACAAGTATGGGGCATTGCAGGCTAACAAAGAACCCAAATAACCCCCATTCCAAAGGGGGGGGGACCCGTTCATCTGTTTCTATTTGCATGTTTTCTAAACAAAAATAAGGCTTTGTTGGGCTACTGTATAAAACCTGTAACTCAACACTATTGCTGACATTTTGAATTGAAAAAGCTTCCTGGGGCGTGCAGGTGGCGCAGTGGTTAGCTCTCACGACCTATGTATGGTGGCTTTAGTACTCGATGCGGCCGACTCGGCTTTGAATCCAACCTATGGTCCTTTGCCACATGTCTCTTCCCCTCTCTCATACCTGCTTTCCTGTCAGCCTACTGTCGAAAAAACAAGCCACTAGTGCCGTTAAAAAAATAAATAAAAATACAAATCTCCCTGGATGGGAAGAGAATTCAGTACCATCCCATTTTGCAAGAAATGATTGGCGGAGAACCATCAGATCAATACTGACTGTTCGTCTCCTTTACTTGAAGCCACAAACAAGAGGATTAAGGAGGAGTTTTCCCTGTAGTTGATTTAGTTGTAACAGTTTTCATCCTATAATACAGTTTTAATTTGTTTTATGAATGGATAGGCCAGTTTTTATTAGTTATTATCATTTTAATAATGCTGAGTTTCGGTGTAGTTATTTTTCCACTTTAATTCATTTTAAGGCCAGAATTCAAAAACCTTTGTTTTATTTATAAAATTATGTTTGAATAAATTCAACACAAGATACTGTTTTAAGAAACGTGTTCAATTTCTGCTGACTAACTCTTTTAAGCCATGTGTAAAGAAAACCTCTTTTCACAGCAGTATATATACACTATATTGCCAAAAGTATTTGCTCACCTGCCTTGACTCACATATGAGCTTAAGTGACATCCCGTTCCTAATCCATAGGGTTCAATATGACGTCGGTCCACCCTTTGCAGCTAGAACAGCTTCAACTCTTCTGGGAAGGCTGTCCACAAGGTTTAGGAGTGTGTTTATGGGAATTTTTGACCATTCTTCCAGAAGCGCATTTGTGAGGTCGCACACTGATGTTGGACGAGAAGGCCTGGCTCTCAGTCTCCGCTCTAATTCATCCCAAAGGTGTTCTATCGGGTTGAGGTCAGGACTCTGTGCAGGCCAGTCAAGTTCATCCACACCAGACTCTGTCATCCATGTCTTTATGGACCTTGCTTTGTGCACTGGTGCACAGTCATGTTGGAAGAGGAAGGGGCCAGCTCCAAACTGTTCCCACAAAGTTGGGAGCATGGAATTGTCCAAAATGTCTTGGTATGCTGAAGCATTCAGAGTTCCTTTCACTGGAACTAAGGGGCCAAGCCCAGCTCCTGAAAAACAACCCCACACCATAATCCCCCCTCCACCAAACTTTACACTTGGCACAATGCAGTCAGACAAGTACCGTTCTCCTGGCAACCGCCAAACCCAGACCCGTCCATCAGATTGCCAGATGGAGAAGCGCGATTCGTCACTCCAGAGAACGCGTCTCCACTGCTCTAGAGTCCAGTGGCGGCGTGCTTTACACCACCGCATCCGACGCTTTGCATTGCACTTGGTGATGTATGGCTTGGATGCAGCTGCTCGACCATGGAAACCCATTCCATGAAGCTCTCTGCGCACTGTTCTTGAGCTAATCTGAAGGCCACATGAAGTTTGGAGGTCTGTAGTGATTGACTCTGCAGAAAGTTGGCGACCTCTTCGCACTATGCGCGTCAGCATCCGCTGACCCCGCTCCGTCAGTTTACGTGGCCTACCACTTCGTGGCTGAGTTGCTGTCGTTCCCAAACACTTCCATTTTCTTATAATACAGCTGACAGTTGACTGTGGAATATTTAGGAGCGAGGAAATTTCACGACTGGATTTGTTGCACAGGTGGCATCCTATCACAGTTCCACGCTGGAATTCACTGAGCTCCTGAGAGCGACCCATTCTTTCACAAATGTTTGTAAAAACAGTCTGCATGCCTAGGTGCTTGAATTTATACACCTGTGGCCATGGAAGTGATTGGAACACCTGATTCCAATAATTTGGATGGGTGAGCAAATACTTTTGGCAATATAGTGTATATATATATATATATATATATATATATATATATATATATATATATATATATATATAGTTTTATCTTTTGGTTCTGGATAGTCTTGGTTTTTTGTTAGTTTTAGTGAACTATAATAACCCCACTCAGGGTGTCAGCATGAAAACCCCAGAATGTTAATGAATCTTAAAAGAGGACCTACATGAAGATCAAACTAAGAGGAACTTGATCTTTAATACTATTACTATCTACAGCAACCCGTTTAACAGAAACACTTATTTTCCCTTGGGATCAATAAAGTCGTTTTGAACAGAGATGCACATTCGTGGTGTATGTAAACTTCAGAGCGGTGCTGTAGGTACAGTGAGGAAAATAAGTATTTGAACACCTCTCTATCAGCTAATTCTGACCCTCACAGACCTGTTAGTCTGTCTTCAAAATGTCCACCTCCATTCCATTTATTATCCTGAGTTAGTTGCACCTGTTTGAGGTGGTTAGCTGCAGAGACACCTGTTCACCCCATACAATCAGGAAGAATCCTCCTGCCTAAACCAGCACACGTCAAGGCCCGTCTTTAGTTTGCCAATGACCATCTGGATGATCCCGAGGAGTCATGGGAGAAAGTCGTGTGATCAGATGAGACCTTTTTGTTCATAATTAGGGCTGGGTATTTTCATCCTGAATCGATTGGATTTTGATTCATACAGTTCTAAATCGATTAATTTTGATTCGATCAGTTTTTACAATAATGAAAGTGGTTCAACTGTGTTTCAAAACCCTCATGTATGAAACATGTCATATTAAACACAAAGTGCAAACTTGTAAATCGGACAGTTTAAACTTGAGACGTGAACAAAACTGTCTCAAAAGTGCAAACTTGTTTGTGAAAAGTGAAAAAGCCTCAATCGAGCAAGCAGACGTGACACAGTGGGGAAACAGCAGATATGCATGAGCTACATTATCTCCACTGCACAAACCATATTTGTAGCGTTGTCTGTAACAACTACAGGGTGTTTGCTGGTCAGCCTCCATTTGATAATGTCTTTAATCACCCTATTAGCTATATTTGCAGCTGTCTGGCTTGAAGTATTTGAATGCACCTTTCCTGCTCATCTGAATGTGAACGTCACGCAGGTCACTATAAAACGAATCGATCTAATTTCATAGACATTGATTTTGCAAAAATGTAAAGGAATCGATTCAAAATCAATTAAATCAATTTTTTACCTAGCCCTATTCATAATTCCACTAACTGAGTTTGGAAGAAGAAGAATGATGAGAACCATCCCAAGAACACCATCCCTACTGTGAAGCATGGGGGTGGTAGCATCATGCTTTGGGGCTGTTTTTCTGTACATTGAACAGGGCGACTGCACTGTATAAAGGAGAGGATGACTGGGGCCATGTATTGCCAACTTCTGGGGAACAACTTCCTTCCCTCAGTTAGAGCATTGAAAATGGGTGGAGGCTGGGTCTTCCAGCATCACAATGAGCCGAAACACACAGCCAGGATAACCAAGGAGCGGCTCTGGAAGAAGGTTCTGGTGTGGCCTAGCCAGTCTCCAGACCTAAACCCAATAGAGAATCTTTGGAGGGAGCTCAAACTCTGTGTTTCTCAGCCCAAAAACCTGACTGATATAAAGAAGATCTGTGTGGAGGAGTGGGCCAAAATCCCTCTTGCAGTGTGTGCAAAACCCGGTGAAAAACTACAGGAAATGTTTTTGACCGCTGGAACTGCAAACAAAAGCTACTGTACCAAATATTAACATTGATGCTCTCAGGTTTTCAAACACTTACTTGCAGCTGAATCATACAAATAAATAATTAAAAGATCATACATTGTGATTTCTGGATTTTTTTTTTAGATTATGTCTCTCACAGTGGACATGCACCTACAAGGACAATTTCAGACCCCCCCCCCCCCCCCCCCCCCCCCCCCCCATGATGATGTCTAAGTGGGAGAAGTTACAAAACAGCAGGGTGTTCAAATACTTATTTTCCTCACTGTAATTGGAGTTTTGGGGAGCAGCAGGATGTGCTGACCCAGTCAGACCTGTCAGAGCGATGAGGAAACAAACCGATTATCAGGTTACATTATATTTTACTCATATGTTCCCTAAATGGCTTTAGTTAAACAA